CTAAACAATAAAAAACATGTTGAGATGACCCTTATCCTACAAAAACACAAGGTAATGAACAAGACTGAAGCTTATGGACCGTGTATGGTTTAAGCTATAGATAACACAGACACCCAAATCTACGAAGGCTATAGTATTTTGGTTCACTACCAAAGAGTTTAGAATATGGGGAGTGATGGTTAAGGGTTGGTGTGGAAATGCGATTGATGAGGTAAGCTCCAGCGGAAAAGGCAAGAGTCCATTAACTAAGTGGCATGAAGCTTGGATAAGAAGAGCAAGACTCGTCTGAATGATGTGTCGGTGTCCTCGCTCCGCATACTCATTATGCTCGGGAGTGTGTGGTGGGGAGGTGAGATGAGAGATGGCACTTTGTGCTAAGAAGGAAGATAAGGCTTTGTACTCACCACCATTTTCAGAGTACAAGGTTCAAAGTGTTTTATTAAAAAAATTTCAACAATCGACTTGAAGCGTACAAACACATCATATGTGTCAGACTTCCGCTTTAGTAGATACAACCATATATATTTTGTATAGTGATCTACAAAAACAGTATAGTATTTATAATTGTCAAAAGAATATAATGGAGAAGTCCAAACATCACTGAACACAACCTCAAGCGGTTCTGATGTAGTAAGAGTAGAGCTTTTGGTGTCACAAACCATAGTGGTGAAGAGGAGACGACGGTCACTCATAAACTCCATTTTATATGGTTCGGTTAGGAGGGGCGCCTCCGTCTGAATGTCCTTAACACAAAAGGCAGTGGGTGAGAATTCAATAGAGGAATTATTATCATGACAAAATTGAGAAATAGAGATAACATTTCGATGCATGGTGGGAACACACAAAACATTGAAAAGGGAAAATGATTTAGATGTAGAAGGGAGAGAGATAAAACCAGTATGTGAGATGGGAAGACCAAAACCATTTCCTATCATAACTTTATATGTACCATCATATGGTGTGTTAATAGCAAGATTAGAAATATCGGTGGCAACATGATGGGAGGCACCACTGTCTAGCAACCGGGGGGGGGGGGGGGGGTGCGGGGGTGGAGTTGGTCTGTATGTGACAAACCTCAGGGACACAACCTCTCTTCTAGTCAAGTGGTCTGGTCTCCTCCGTCTTGCTGGCATACCTGGATTCGAATCCTTAGTTATATATTTAGCTTTATTTATTTATTAGTCCATAGCTTGTTTAGTTATTATTCTGGACCACCATTCTTGGGCCGGTCTCTTGGGCTTTGTATATTTTTTTGGGCATCATGTCTCGGTAATAAGATTGTTATTTTCCTACCTTTGTTTTATATTTTTATACCTGATTTATGGTGGACCCGGGGCCAACAAAACCATATCTTTAATTAAATTGTTTAACACGCCAGTTGATTTTAATAATTTTTTGAGGTGATAATTAAACTTTTAATATAATATCAGGGTAAGGTCTTACAGGGGTAGGGACAGCTCCTGAATAGGAACTTTACACATAAAATTAAAGTATGTTATTGTTATAAGCTAATTGGATTGCCAGAAGACAATGACGCAATGGATTTGGATGTGATGGAAAATCAGTACAAATTATTAATTAATAGTTTTATCAAAAGGAAAAAACAAAATTAAAATATAAAACCCATCATATTCTATGAGTCTTACATATTTTTTAGTACACAAACTTTAAATTTTGGCCACAAATTAAATGAAGAGCTGAAGTAGAGAAGTTAGTTGATGGGTATAGGTCACGTGAGAGGCACTAACCACTTCACACGACAAAGAAGTGTAAGAAAGTGACTTAATTTCTTCTTCTTTGAATTGGTAGGCCAAAGGGCGTTTTATTGCCTATGCAAGTTGCCAACTTGTGCCAATTTAAGTTTGAGAAGAAAGAAGAGATATCAGTGGCTGATTGTAAGCATGGGTGGCCCCTAACCCTCCATCATTTTGATTTTTCCTTTTAAATAAATACGTACTCATAATTCTTTAAAAGATAATATCGGTATTCGATCCAGTGACTACTCATTTAGAATGATAACAGATGTATCATCACAATACATAGTAATTAGCATCATTTTGCTTTTATTACTGCTTGTGCTATAGGGAAAACGGTGCTTTTGGCCCTCAATTGTTTTACTTTTGGAAATTTAGTCCATATCAATTGATTTGAACAAACCTAACCCTTTAATTGTTCAGAATGTAGCACATTTGGTCCCTCATGTTATATAATTAGAATTGTTTTTAATAATTTATATAATTTATTTATTCAAAATTAAAAATATTGTTTATTATAAATAAATACATAAATTTAAAATTAAAATTAAAATTAAAGTTAAAATTAAAATTAAAATTAAAATTAAAAAAAAAAAACCTCCACCGGCTGTCTTCTTCACGGACAGCCACGGCCGTCTAAGGAAGACGGCCATGGCCGACGAAGGAAGGCTGTCATCTAGATCTAGAAGACTAGAACGAGGGCTACGGCCTTCGCCGCCGCCCTCGTTCCAGTCTCCTCCGTCTGGAACGAGGGCGGCTGCCATGGCCGTCTTCCTTCGTTAGCCATGACCGTCTCCGTGAAGAAGACAGCCAGTGGCGGTTCTTCTTTTTTTAATTTTATTTTAAAATTTATATATTTATTTATAACAAAAAATATTTTTAATTTTGAATAAATAAATTATATAAATTATTAAAAACAATTCTAATTATATAACATGAGGACCAAATGTGTTACATTATGAACAATTAAAGGGTTAGGTTTGTTCAAATCAATTGATATGGACTAAATTTTCAAAAGTAAAACAGTTGAGGGGCCAAAAACGACGTTTTCCCATAAGTATATAAGGGAAGATTTCGATACTTTTTATTTGAGTTAATACCCAAAATGGTTCTCGACTATAGTTGTTTTTCTCAATTTCGTCCTAAACGACTTTGGTGACCTAATGTAGTCCTAGACTTTTGTGTTTTTGCTTAATTTAGTCTTCCGTTTATTATTCTATCAAATTGGTGTTAAATAAATGAACAATTCAATAATCTCAATATAGGTCTCTCTTTACTCTCAGCCCTACGAAGTGCGAAATCCCTATTGCTTTTACGAATTACTACCAGACCAGTGAATCAAATTTTATATTCGCAGGTTTGGGAGTAATCCGTAAAAGAAAAAGGGATTTCGCACTTCGCAGGTATAGGAGTAAAGAGATCCCAATATTGTCCTCTAATTAACACCAAATAGACGGAATAACAAACGGATGACTAAATTGAAAAAAACCACAAAAATTTGGGACTACATTAGGTCACCAAAGTCGTTTAAAACGAAATTGAGAAAAACCATTATAGTCGAGGACATTTTGGGTATTAACTCTTTTTTATTTTGTTTTTATCACGTCAAAAAAAAAAAAATGAGTAATTCTAAAAACGTATATATTTTTCTTTTCTTGTTAACCACTAGATTGGAAAGAATACATCCACTCTTATTATTTTAATTAATGAGACGTTGAAGAATTTCATTATGCACCCACAAAGATACACAACTACCATTGAAATTGTTTGATCTAAGATGTGGCTAATATTTGTGTATTCAATTTATTTGAAAATGAAGAACATCAATTAACTTTATACAAAAAAAAAAAAAAAAAAGTTAATAAGTGGTGTTGGCATATGGATTGTGAACATTTTTTAATGTGTTTATTAATTGGATTAGTAATAACTATTTAAAATGATTTAAGTTTGATTTCAGCTGTGAATCGTGTTTTTAATAGAATAATCTTTAAATTTTGCAAATCATTTTTAAGATAATGATGCTTTTTGATTTCTTCATTTAAAGTCTTTAATAAGTGGCTGCAAAAAAGAAGTATCAACTTGATTAAAGATGGAGACTTATATATATATATATATATATATATATATATATATATATATATATATATATATATTATTCTCCTCCTCTCATATTGGGAGTGGTTGGAAAACTTGGTTGCTTTTGGGCAAATTATACCATAGGATAGGGTCTACTTTACATTGTAGATCTTGGTTTAAAAATAACATTCAGATTCTGTATTTATAGTTGACACTTTTATACCTGCAGTTGATAGTTTTGTATCTTTAGTTATCATATTATATGTCAGGAATTAGTTATTTGTTTATATGTACAGAAACTATTAGGTATAGGTACAGAATATGTTAACTGAAAGTACATAATTTTTGTATCAAATTTCACAATACAATATGAACCCTGATCCATAGTATAACAATTGTTTGCTTTGTTGTCAAAGCAATCTTTTAAAGAGAAGGGTAAAAGCCAATCAAATAAAGTGGTTGTTGGGATGAGGATTTGATTATTGAATATCAGTCGAACTGAGTCTGTACAAGTAATAATATAGAGAGTAGATAAAGAGTCCTAACGAACTACTAATATAAGAGTCCTAATACTCCCCCTCAAACTCAAGACGGAGCAACTGCAACATTGAGTTTGTCCCGTAGAAACGAAAACCGAGTAGATGGAAGAGCCTTGGTGAAAACGTCTGCTAGTTGATCCTTCGTAGAAATAAAATGAACCTGAATCTCCTTCTTGGCAACCTTGTCACGAACGAAATGATAATCAATCTCCACATGCTTCGTTTGGGCATGAAAAACTGGGTTCGAACACAAGTAGGTGGCACCCAAGTTGTCACACCACAGAGTTGGCGCAGAAGCCGGCGGAAAACCAATCTCTTTAAGTAGTGAAACGAGCCACGTAACCTCAGCCGAGACATCAGCTAAGGCCTTGTATTCAGCCTCAGTAGACGAACGCGCCACCGTGCGCTGCTTTCTGCATGACCAGGAAACCAGATTGGTGCCCACGTAGACCGCAAAGCCACTGGTTGACTTTCTATCATCCGGATTGCCAGCCCAATCCGAATCAGAAAAAGCATGAACAGCAGAAGACAGAGACCTGCGAATATTGAGTCCAAGACCAAGAGTGCCCTTAACATACCGTAATACCCGCTTCATCAGACTCCAATCAGCCGTGGTAGGAGACTGCATGTGCTAACAGAGCCTATTAACTGCAAAAGATAAATCAGGGCGAGTCACAGTCAGGTACTGCAGGGCACCTGCAATGCTGCGATAGTGAGTGGGATCAGCATAAGGAGTGGTGTCAGCATCATCAGACCGAACCACTGAAACCGGGGTCGAGACCGGCTTGCAATCCACCATGCCGGCACGCTTAAGAATGTCCTGAATGTAACGCCTCTGAGAGAGGAGAACACCATCCGAGAGCGGCACAGTCTCAATGCCGAGAAAGAACGATGGAGCCCCCATATCCCGAATCTTGAACTCCGCAGCCAGCTTGGCCACAATTCCCGAGACCCGCTGCGAGTCCGAGCCCATGACCAGAATGTCATCAACATACACCAAAAAATACAATTGCACAGCACCATCAGAATAGATAAATAATGACACGTCAGTTTTAGAAGGAACAAAGCCAACCGAGCAAAGGAAATCGTGCAACCGAGTGAACCAAGCACGAGGGGCCTGCTTCAAACCATACAGAGACCGTTGCAGAAAGCACACATGATCCGGTTTCGTCTTGTCCTCGTAGCCAGGCGGCTGACGCATGTACACTGTCTCAGCTAGCGAACCATTCAGAAATGCGTTGTGAACATCCAGCTGCCTGATGGACCAACCACGAGAGTAAGCCAAAGAAAGTAAAAGTCGAACCGTGGTAGGCTTGACAACCGGACTGAATGTCTCAAAAAAGTCTTTCCCGGCAACCTGATTAAAACCCTTAGCCACCAGCCGGGCCTTGTGACGTTCAACAGATCCATCCGCATTTCGCTTGACCCGAAATACTCACTTACACCCCACAACATTCATACCTGGAGTGTAAGGCACAAGACGCCATGTATGGTTCTGTAGCAAAGCATTAAACTCAACATCCATGGCCTCACGCCACTCGGGATGACGCACGGCCTGTGAGTAACACGTGGGCCCAAGATCGTCAGCAGCAGTGAACAAAGCAACATGATCCTTAGGGCCCATACTCCGTGTGCCCATCACATGAGACCGCGGCCCAACAACCTTGGCACCACGGCCCCGACGCGCCCGACCACGACGGGCAACCTGCCCACAGTCAGATACTGTCCGCTCACTAGAATCTGAATCCGGGAACACGGGAGTGGAAACCGGTCGCTCCTCCCTAGCAGGCAAAACCGGCGCAAGAACCGGTGCAGGATCAGCAACAATGGGGGCAACACCCCACGGGACAGCCCGGGGCGGAGCAATAACCTGCGTAGAAACACCACTAGCAAACGGAAAAACAGCCTCATCGAATCGCACATGGCGACAGATAAAGACTTTATTAGTGACAGTATCTAGACAACGATAGCCACGAAAAGAGTCAGGATAACCCAAGAAAACACATGGAGACGAACGATACTGCAGTTTATTACGATTATATGGACGCAGTAAAGGAAAACAAAGACAACCAAAAACCCGCAAGAAAGAGTAAGACGGAGGGGACCGATGCAGACGATAATGAGGAGGCTCATTGTCTAAAACCCGAGTAGGCATCTTATTAATTAAATAGACTGCCGTTTCAAACGCAAAATCCCAATACCGAGAGGGAACAGAAGCCTGAGCCATTAAAGCCAACCCAGTTTCAACTATATGCCTATGGCGACGCTCTACCCGACCATTCTGCTCATGCGTATACGCACAGGACTGCCTGTGACGAATACCAAGAGACACAAACATAGAGTGGAGCTTTTTGTACTCTCCCCCTAAATCAGATTGAACGGCAATTATTTTTTGAGAGAATGAACGCTCAACAAGAGAGCGAAAACGTTCAAAGATAGCATAGATATCGGTTTTGGCACGCATAGGATAGAACCAAACAAAACGCGTAAAATCATCCACAAACAAAACGAAGTAACGAAAACCATTAACAGATGTTATTGGCGCAGGGCCCCAAATATCAGTATACACGAGTTCTAATACACGAGTACTCGAAGTAACAACACGAGGTAATGGAAAACGGGAAGATTTCCCTAACTGACAAGACGAACAAACATTGGACAACTCACTAGAATTAAATTGACTAACACCAGATAACTGTAAAATTTGACGCAGAACTCGTGTGTGTGGATGACCAAGCCGCTGGTGCCAAGTAGAAGACGAGACACGCGCAGCAACATTAGCAGAAGGACTACGACAGGAAACAGGCCAAGTATATAAACCTCCCGACGCGCCCCCCTTAAAAAGCACCTCCTTGGTCAAGAGATCCTTCACAAGAAAATACTCAGAATGAAACTCAAAAAAGACATGATTATCCCTAGCAAAACGCTGAACAGAAAGTAAAGACGACGACAAGCCAGGGACATGCAAGACATCATTTAAACGAAAAAGTTTACTAGAAGAGGCTATCGAAGCAGAACCAACACTAAGTATAGTCATACCTGTACCATTGCCAACCCGTAGAGTGTCAGAACCATCATAGCCAGCAGCGGAAGTCAACACCGAGGAGTCAGGTGTCGCATGATTCGTGGCACCCGTGTCAGGAAACCACTGATGAGAATCAATCGAGCCACCCACATCTCCGGAATAAGTCATGTGAACCTGAGGACCGGGGGACTCAGAATACCTGCGATAGCAATTTAACGCAGAATGGCCCTGTTTATCACAAATCTGACACCGCACATCAGACCGACCCCGGCCCCGGCCTCGGCCTCGGCCACCACCGCGACCCGAGCCTCCACTGCCCGAGCCGCCACCGCCCGAGCCACTGCCCGAGCCACCACGATTCTGCCCGCCATACCCGCGACTGCCACCACGGCCACGGTTCACGGCCAACACTGCCGGCGAACCAACTCCACCACCGCCAGCCGCACAAATCCACTCCTGAGAGGTAAGCTAGTCCGAAAGCTCGGACAACGTCACCGGTGAGCCACGCGTCAAGGGTGCAACGAGGGGACGAAGCTCCGGCCGCAACCCACGAAAAACATATATATTTTGATCATCAAGCGTGATCGGACGCCCGGCAAGCGCCAAGTCCTCGACAAGCATCCATGCCCGACCGAGATAATCCAAGACAGAAGACTCCCCCTGAGTTAGCGCTTGCAACTCGCCAAGCAGCCGCAAGGCACGAGACCATGTCGCCGATCCAAGTTCCTGCTCGATGGCTAACCACAAGGCCAGTGAAGTGGACCGACCAACGGCCATATGCATCATCTCATCGGACAGCGACGAAATCAAAAGAGACAAGATAGCCTTGTCTTGCCGACGCCACTGCTCCGAAGCCGAACCCGACGCCGCGGCAGCGCTGCTGTCCGCCGTGGACTCCACCGGCGCTGCACCGGTTGGACAAGCGTGCGTACCATCCACATAACCGAGAAGACCCTGCCCCTCCAAGAACGGAAGCATTTGAGTCCTCCAAAAAGATAATTATGAACGGTAAGCTTAAGCGAGACAAAATGATGCGCCGAAGATAAGCTCGGAACCGGGTGGGGATGAACAGGAGCAACCTCGGACACAGTCCGTTCAGAAGAATCGCGAACAGAACCGTCATTGTTGCCTCCCAAGGCTGCCATGGAATTAACCTGGAAACTGATACCAGATGAGGATTTGATTATTGAATATCAATCGAACTGAGTCTGTACAAGTAATAATATAGAGAGTAGATAAAGAGTCCTAACGAACTACTAATATAAGAGTCCTAATAGTTGGAAGCCTATCAACAATTATTAATTAAACAAACAATCACGAAGGATATTCTGTAACATAAGAAACATATTATGTATCTTTATCAGTTATTTACTGTATTATATATGCATCATAGATATGTATTTTTAAAAATTAAAATGAAGACTTGTTTGAGTAATAACTTGATTATCTAGGGTTCAAACACAACGTATAAGATCAAACATTTTGTGGAAGTACGCAGCAAATTATTGTGTGGACTATGGTCCACATAACTGTGTGGACAATGAATGCAATATACATTTTTAATATATTAAAAGTATATTATTTGTGTAATGAAGGTACATTATTTGATAACATATAAAAAATTATGTACTTTCAAATAATATACTTTTAGAGAACGTTTGGAAAACTGGAAAATGACTTATGGAAAATGTTTTCTGAAAAATGAGTCATTTTCCAGAAAACATTTTTCTTTCCTGTGTTTGGTTGCATTGTAAAAAACTGTCATGGTGCGTTTGGTTCATTTTATGGAAAATAAGTATAATTGTATAATTAAACATTTTAATTATTTTATTTAGAATATAGCATGTATAATAATATAATAACAATTTTAAATATAATATAAAATAACTAATAATAAGATATCAAAATAACTAAGCAAAGTCTTGTAATTCAAAACAACAACAACAACAATAATAATAATAATAAGTGGTATAGTGGTGGTGGTGATGGTAGTCCTGTTATTTGTTATATAATAATAATAATAATAATAATAATAATAATAATAATAATAATAATAATAATAATAATAATAATAATAATAATAATAATAATAATAATAATAATAATAATAATAATAATAATAATTGGTGGTGGTATGACAGTGGTGGGAATGTGGTAGCGTGGGTGGCGGTGGCCAGAGGCGGACACACAGTGGGGGCAGTGGGGGCAACTGCCCCCACCCCATACTATATATATTGTATGTATAGGTCCTTATATAGGTAATAAACGTTTGTATATTAAAAATATACCAAATATTAAATGGAAGTTTATCTAGCTTTGATGGTAAGGCTATTTATTCCTATATATGGATAGGCCAAGGTTCAAAACTTGCAAGGCTAATGTTTGCTTTTGAATTCTAATTGTTTCTTCTTTTTTTTTTTTTTGGTAACATTGTGACTTCTTCTCTAATTTATTTTTATTTTTACTTTTTGATATTAATAGTGTGATGAGTAATTTATAATGTATTTTTCATTCGAACAATTTTATCTAATTAATTATGTTTTATATTTTGTTTTAAATATTTTTTATTGTTATGTATTTTAAGTTTTCATCTTTAATTAAGGCTATGTCTCTAAGTGTTTTATTTTTTTATGTTTCAAAATATCTCGTAATAAAATTTTCGCCCCCACTAGAGAAGATTTCTGGGTCCGCCACTGGCGGTGGCGGTGGCGGGTGTGAGGTGGTGGTGAACTAGTGGTATGGTGGTGATGGTACGGTGTTGGTGGTGGTAGTGGTGGTGGTGTAGTGTTGGTGTAAAAGTTGAAAAATGACTTCTCAAAAAAAAAAAAAAAAAAAAAGAGGGGAAGTCATTTTCCTTCAAAACACGCATGTTTTCCAAAGTCAACGGAAAATGATTTCCATTGACTTGATTTTTCAGGCACATTCAATACTGAACCAGAAATCATTTTTCGGGTTTCCAAACACCAAAAATATATTTTTTTTTATTTATGAGGTTCACACAAATGTGTGGACCATGGTCCATGAAATAGTGATTGAAATATGCAGACTGGTTTTGAGGGAATTAAATCAAATATGATCTAGATGGATATATTAGACCCAATCCAAGTGATCGAACTCATGAAAAAACATAATTAAATAAGTCCAAGGTGAGAGCTAAGCAAGAACCAAGGGCCCATGGTCGACCTTGGGGTACCGAACGTTATGCTGTGCATCCGGTTGCACCGTACTTGGTGCATCCGGATCCACACGACGTCGTTTAGGGAGTAACGGTTCCGTTAGTGGCACCGTTTCACTCCACCAATCAGATATTTTTTTTTTTTAAAATAAAACAATGCTCCTTCGTTTCTTCTCCACTGCATTTCACTTCCCGCACTCCATTCCTTCTCCAACA